TTTGAGAACGAATTCGTACTTATATATTGAAAATCAATCAAATTGACAAAGTAATCTCATTTATAAGATATATACTACTCCCGTAAATCGATAAATTATAAACACACGTGCGAACGATGTAAGCGGAGTTAATAACGTCAACGAAACCTACTTCACTATAAAAGAAACACGCAGTAAAATTTATAATAATGTGAACTCCTTAAAACAACTATACTCCTTAGAACTCCTTATAACGAAACTATATCAAAGTTGTCATCGAAAACTTAATAATAAAGAAGAAGGTACCGGCCGGAAAGTTCAGCAAAAATCGAAAGCTAATTCGGTTTAAAATTTGATGCTATCATAAAGAAAAAATGGCCGCCAAGAATGTAATTATAATAACCATCAAATATAAAGGTAAACAATAAAACGCCTCTTGTACCCGGCATCCAGTAATGAAAGGGAAATTTTTAAGGCGCTTAAAAGTATGTAAAAGCGGGATTGCGGTATAATTGTTATCCAATAACTAAATATTTAAAATAATATCGAAATTCCAACATCAGCCATCACCAAATTACAAACATGAGCGTGCCTGTTACGATAATTCCAAAAGAGCTCAAATCATCAGCTTATAACGGTGCTTCTTAGCCGAGCTATATAGCTCAGGTTTTTCCAAAGGGTCCGTTTCCAAGAACTTTATAAACGAAATAAAAGTACTTGGATCTTCGTAATTTTAATAATCTTTTCTTATATATGTTCTCGGAAGTATTGGTTTATAATTTATGGAATTACGCGCGTGAACTTAGATGGTGCCGACGAAGGATCAGCACAGCAATGTGGTGCCTCTTCAAACCGCTTTGTTTTATTTCAAATATAGTTGCTTATTTTACTTTTTACGTTTTCTTTGTGAACTTCGTTAGAATTTGCGTCTCACGGTTTTATTGTGTCTACGATTCTGCAAGTCAATATTTTTCGTACAGACAGCCAACCCTATGAACCGCTAAATCCGATTATTAATTCCTACATACCTGTTCGATCAACTCTACTATGCCTATTTCTCCAAACGCTTATTTGAAGGTAGCGACTAAATTAGGCAAGTCGTTAAACTTAACAGTCCTTGTAGTTGTTCAGAAAAAACTGCTAAGCTAATTCAGCTATCACTTATCAGCATAGTCAAACAGTGAAAGTAAAAAATAAGAAAAACAATTTTTGGTTAAGTACGGACTTACCTCATTGGCTGCCATAATACAAAACAGTTTGTGTTGTGCATCGCACTTTTATAGACACCGTTATCACCGTTGTACCATTGCAAAATTGCTTACAGTTATGTTCATGCCTCTTATTATCTCGTGAGAAAATTATTCTGCGCACGTATTACATTGAGTCTATTGGTTTGAATGCATAATAAGAATAATGAAGCTATGCTTATTATATTATGCATATGAGCAATTATATTGAGTTTATGCAAAGCCTATGTGTATAAATAAAAGCTCGGTTTGAGCAAGATCAATGTGTAATAATACATTTATACATATCTTATAAAAAGTAAGAGTTAAGCTATATTGATGGCTAATATTAACGCTACGCATATGAATTTAGGAAATTCTATCTGTATAATATAAAGGTACAAGTGAATACATTCCAACAAGAGTTCTAATTATGTCGTGTACATATAAAGCAAGGTAATACAGGTACAAAGTAAACCTATAGCAAAATTTAGGTATAAATGATAAGCGTAGGACATTACAAACGATAGATATTGGAGGGAATATGTATATTTACCGAAAGTGATATATGTGTTTATAAGCATGCGTATGTATCTAAAAATGCAAATTAACCAAGCACTGTGCTTAATCAAAAGAAATAAAACATATAGGCATCACAATTAGCCAAGCAATATATTTATATGTGCATAGTCAAAAGAAATAGAACTGATGTTTTTAAACATAGCAATAAGCGTACGCTTATCAGCAACTTAGCGGCTGCTGCATCACACATAAATAAATGTAATAAAGCCCATGTTTATAAGCGCAAGATTATACACAAACGATTGGTAAGCATACCTATATTAACAATGCATTGATAAAGCAATGAATGCATATAATGTATAAGTAAACATTTAGTGTAGATAGATAACCACTAGAATAGAATTAATCAACGTATGTGCCTAGGTAAGAGAAATAATAAAGTAATCCATGCTAAGAAAAAAGTAGATATATACAGGCAAACCTGTTTTTGTGCGGTAGATAGGGACCGCAGAAAAAAAACCGTACAAAAAAAAATATCCAAAAACTTCATAAATAGCTATAAGAAATAATTTTTCACAGCATATTAAAGAAAATTTTTTTTATGCGGTAGAGAGGGACCGCATAAAAAAAGTCTCACTTAGAAAATATGTCAAAGCTTTACGAAATAGCAAGAAAGTGCTTTCCAAACAAAATAAATAATTAAATTACACATTGAAACATTTAAAAAAATTTTAATTTCTAATTTTAAACAAGGAGAAATTTTCAAAATGTACATAATTCAATATGTACTACTCGTCGTAGTTCAAAACGCGCATATTTTTGCGATGAACTGGTTCGTAATCGCTTTCGTCACTTGAAGATACTACAGTTGATTTATTTTTTGTTAACATGTAGTCGGTGATAAGTTTTTGCGACGACGGTCGTTTGGTCACCTGTTTGTAAACGTCGCGATAGCCAGATATACACAATCGAAGCTCTTTTTGGAATTTCAAACTTCTTTGAGAATTGTTATTTATTTTAAGAAAATGCTTTTCCAATTTGCTGCAAAGCTGGATCCCTGCATATATTTTATCCGCTGTAATAGATTACGGTTCTTCTTGTCCGTCTTCATGATCTGTTAAGTTATTGATAATGTCACTATCATTTACGGTTTCGTCCTCAATCATTTCAATAAGATCATTTTCGCTGAAAGAGTCAAAACCTTCTCCGCAGATTTGATGTGCTAGCGCAATGATATCTGATGATAAAAGTGGACGTGTTGTCGGTTACATTTCTATTAATGACACATTCGGGCCAGACCGCTTTCCAGCACGAATTTAAAATGGCTGTTGCAATGTGTATATACACACTGATAGCCAAAAAAGTGATGCCAACACAGTTCAGATTGACCTAACCTCACGGCGAAATTCAATGTGTCGATATTCATATACCGCACAAAAAAAAAATCGCACAAAAAGAATCGCACAAAAAAAAGATTCGCACAAAAAGAATCGCACAAAAAAAAGCGCATAAAAAAAGACCGCACAAAAACAGGTTTGACTGAATATATAGCAAATTAATTACATGTTATTGTAAATAGAAGACAAATAAATTAGTTCACTTGTAAACAGACAGGGTAGAGACTTTTGTAAAACAGCAAAATGCAAATGCCTTACACTGTCCAAAACTCGGGCTAGAAGCGACTACAACGATTACAGGCCCATATTAATTTTATTTATACTGCAAAATATGTTTGAAAAGGGAGTTTGGATTAATATATATAAGATGAATAACAGAAACGTACTTAGGTACCAAGAATATTCATAAATCGCTTGGAACTTTAGAAACGAAAAAACGATAAGCTCATTCACTAGTACAATTCTTCATTTATTTCCGTAATAAAAAATAAAATCAGTTCCATTTAAATGAGTCCTTTTCATGGGAATCCTTCATAGAAGGAGCTCCAAAAAGAAAGCTGACGCGATCCAATTTCAAAAAAAATTAATCTTTTTGCCAAAGATCTTACTATCCCTTACTTTTGCGCCATAAAGTACAGAAGTAAACTTTGCACGGCAGACAAAGGTTTACTTTTCATGGGAACCTTTGCATGGTGTGGTATTTAAAAAATTTATCTATGCTGAATTCTAATTTGCCATACTTGATTTTTAATTCAAACCACTATTACGCACCGATTCTCATCCTAAAATATTAAACAATAGATCTTTTTTTCATATTAAGGCTTACTTCTTGTACCAAGATTTAGGAGGGGGCCTCAAAATATACGTCTATTCGATCCAAATTTTTTATATCAACTAAGTCAGCCAGAATATTAGTACTCAGCAAATCTTGAAAATTGCAATTTGCTTTCATATAACGACTTCTTCAAAGTAGAGAGGTATATAAGGAGTGATCGCAAAGGAGGTCCGATCCAATCAGCCGATGCATCAATAATTAAATCTTAAATCAATATATCTCCGAAATTGCAATTTGCCTGCTCAACACAAAAATATGTAAGCAGATATCGGACAGAAAGACAAGTTTAAATCGGTTCAGAAAATGATTCTAAATCGGTCGGTGTTAAAAAAATTGACACTTTCTTAAATCCTTCTGTTGCATATGTCCGCACAAACCAAATATACCTTGCGCACAAGTGAGATAGGGTAGGGATTACACTAAATTGTGTTTTACGTCGGTTTCAGCTTCTCAATTTTTGAGTTCATTAAAACCTTGCAAACGACAACGACTGGAGGCAAAGCAGAGAGCTACCAATAATTCAAGAATTCTTTGAAAATGTGCTCTTTTAAAGAAAACTCATTAAATATACTTATTTAGGGCACAGAAACCGCCAATGGAGTTCTTCAAGGCTTAAAATCATGTCCGTTACTATACATAATAAGCACCAATAACATGTTAAACGTCTTTTGAAACATCAAGTGTGCATAGCATTATGATTATAGTTGTACATAAAGATATAAAAGTGGTCCTCGATGCAAGTGACCCGAAAACAATTATTTATGTAACACTAATATACACATTGGTCAATAAAACGCAATAAAAACTACACATTTACAAAAAAGTAAGTAGGTAATTGAATACACAACCTGCAGGCAAGTCTATAGCTTCGCGGGTTCGCTTGTAAGCGCACATTCAAACTACAAGAAGAAGTGCATACAAATAAACGAAGTTAAAATTAATTAGAACACTGCGTGAATACGGAACACAGACTATAAAAAAAAAATTTAAATTACTGTTACCATTATCGTTGAAGTTTTAACTACTATTATTATTACATAGCTTGAGCGTAACTGGTCGGAACGGAATGGTGGAAGTGTTGATTCCGCAAGTACTAGTGGTGTTGGCATTATTAATCTAACTTCTGAGTGGAACGGCACACCTAATTCGAGTCCACGAAGGGAATTTTCAAGTCACTCTAGAAATACAGAAAACTGGCGTCGCAGCCGTAATGAAGATATAGTGGCAGAAGTGTCCATAAATACTGCTACTGGAGACGGTTGGCGTATTAATAATTCTAGTGCTCATCGTTGGGGTAAACAAAATTTTTTTACTTATAAAATTTGACAAGCCCTTTTGCATCTCTTGCTTAGGTCGATCAACTAGTTGGAGAGATGACGACTTATCACTGGTGAACAATAATGGTGGGGTAGGAAATGGGAGTAGCGGGAGTAATAGTTGTATCTTCGTACAACGTTCTTTTTCAACTATATCAACTTCAGCTGCCGATCGCGGAAATATCTATAATAATAGCAACAACGCGCCAAAACCTTTACACAGTTCAAGTTATTCGGTTTGCGGTCATTCTGCCAGTACTGGCCGCTCGCTATCGTCGGGAGTTACGCAAGTGACACGAAGTGGAAATGAATGGTCTGAAAATAATACCGGTGTTGTTGGTAGAATGAGGGAAGATCAAAATCTGCCAGAATGGGCTATGGAAAATCCATCTGATGTAGGTGGTACTTTTGACTCCACGGGAGCTTTTCATGGATCGACAGACGAACCAATAATAGCAGAGCAGAGTAGCCACAATGTGGACAGACATGCGGTAGATGACGATATCGGTTCATCTAAAGAAGTAGAAGGCGGAAAAATTTCTGATGAGTGTGACAACTTACATTCTCAAAATTCTCAAAGTGATATGGAAAACTGCAGAGATTCTACAGATGTATCCATTAGTTTGATAAATGAGTTCAGTGAACTGACTGACCAAGGCGTTTCCATGAAACAACCAGATACTCTTCCGGAAGAACAAACTGTTAGTTCGACAATGTCTGATGACTTTGATGTTTTTGTCGAAAATTCAAATGTAGAGGCTAGGACTTCGACTGCAACTGATAGATCAAAAAATGAAATAGAAAGCACCAATGGAAGTAATACATACTTAGAGTCGGAAATTATTATATTAACCCCGGCATCTGGCTTTACTGCTAAAAACAGTGGCGACTATTCAGACAGAATGATGAAAGCAGCCGATGATATGATTGAAAAACTAATTATGGATGATGATGATAGCAAAAATCAACTAAATGGGAATATTAGCAAAACCCCGTCATCTGATTCGACTATACCTAAAAATATCAATGTACAGAATACCTATGCATCCAGTATTCAGGACTCTGGTGCACCACTTATTTCACCAGTCTCACTGACCCCTAAAACTTCACCATTATGCAAAATAGGAATGGTTGGAGGCCCGGTGCATCATCAACACCATCAGCGACAACAAATGAATGATGCGGATTTATCACTGCAGCTACCTCCACATCCTTTAGCATCGAATGCTGCTTCAGAATTATGGTTTTATCGAGATCCACAGTCTAAAGTACAAGGTCCCTTTTCTGCTTTAGAAATGACAGAATGGTATAGAGCTGGATATTTTAATGAAAACCTTTACGTTCGGCGGGTCTGCGATATGCGCTTTCGTCCTTTGGGAGAGCTAATAAAGATTTGCAATGGTCAGATGCCTTTTACAAATAGCTACTTAATCCCAATTGACTTAAATCCTATAAGCACTTCTTTGCCAGCACCTTTAACACAAGCTAACTTTAAAATTTTTGGTGATCACCAAACTGAAGAAATTAAGACCAACGTTTCTTTACCGACGGATTCTACAACGAGCGCTCTTAAAAGCCTAATTAATACAGTTGATATGTCTCAGATTTTAAATGTTCACTTTCAAACACTACAAGAACGTTTAATCCGGAACCACGAAATTGAAGTTACTAATGAGTTATCTAAGAATAAATGTTTTCAGCGCTTAACTCCATCCGAACGTGAAGCGTTCATTAGGCAGAAAGTGCAAATATTTATGCCATCCGAATATACCCCCAATTTTAGTTCTACCGGAACCTTAAATCCCACGGATGATAGTCACTTTTATGATCCTTTGGATAAGCGTTCAAAAAAGGAACATGTTTTCACAGGACAGTCACAACAAACACCCCAAAATACTTCAAATTTTGTGGATTCTGACGATTTTATGATTCCGGCACAGCAAACTACGTCGAACACTCAATTTTCTAATTCGTCGTTTAATGACACATCTAAAGTGCAATCCACTATTAACGATGATTTGGGAAGTAATGGTTTGCTGAATGAATTAAATTTACGGATGTTCCTAAGGGGCGGTAGTTCTGGCAATGCACACGATTACTTAACGGAACAACAAATATTTGGGGCTGAACCACAAGCTATAACAGCTACCCAAAGTAATATGATGCAAATGTGGATGAGCCAGCTGCCGTCAAATGTAAATAATCTTTCGGACTCTAGACAAGTAATGAACTCTCTTCAGACCAATACACAATTAAATAACCATTGGAACGGTGGGTCTTTGATAGGTATGCCCAATATAATTATGGCTCGCACACAAACAGGACCAATTATGCACTTGACAAAGCCAACCACATCTATGTGGGACGTCAATTTATTAGAACAACATGTTCAGTTGCAACAGCAGCAAAAACTTCACTACCAGCAACAGCAGCATAAGCTTACAGAAAAGGAGGAATTAAATCAATTTGACAAAGCTGAGAAACAAATCAGTGAGCAAAGTGCAAATAATATGGAACAGAATGAACAACAACCATTGATCACAACTTTAGATTCACGAAATAGTAATCTATTTGAGCAACATTTAAATGCCCAAAAAGAACCTATATCGCAACAAACACAACAAGTTGATATTATATGTGAAATCAATGCCAAGACTAATAATGAACAACGTCATTCATTGCAAAATCTCGTTGATGAAGTGCCGCTACAAACAGTTGACATATATAAACGTAATAGCAGCGGTCATGCTGGCAACAACAATAATAGTAAACTGCAGTCTGTGAAACCCAAAGAAGATATAGATAATTTGACGTTGAGCAACAATAACGCAAAGAAGAATGAAGAGGATCGCCGTCGTGATCAGAATGAAGAAAAGCGTCGCATCAAAGAAGAGCGTAAACGACAACAAATTGATGAAGAACGGAGGCGACAGCAGCTGGCTGAAGAAGAAAAGAAGCGCCACACTTTGGGAGAAAAAGAGCGCCAACAACAAATTCAATCGCAACGTCGCAAAGCTATATTAGCACCCAATGCAAGTTGCTCTAACGGTAAGAATATTAGACCTAAAATTACAGATATATCTTAGACATTTTCTTAAACGTGTTTGACGCACAACGAATAACTCATCCATACATATAATTGCAAATAAAATTGCCATTCTAAATAGACGATATTACAAAGAGAATTGATCTTTTATTGTTTTTAATGCCTCACGTTCTCAACTTAATGAACATATTATCGATTGCATTCATACTTTTAAATCTGGTAAAAACGTTTGTATAGTTTTTAATATCAGGGCATTGCAGACCCTTATACTTATATTTGCATCCAGCGAAATACAAATAAAATGAAAATTGACACTTGTGAAGAACAGAAAAAGTATAACAAATATTATTTGCAATCTGGTTCTTTAAAAAAATGTGCGTTTAAAATGGTCCCAGCCTCACTAATACTGAGGTTTTCATATACGTGCATATAATTTAAACTCATTATCACTTAGAGACTGTTCTTGCGCTACCTAACAGACAATAGAGAGAATCCTTTGTCGCGACTTTAGCTGGTTGTTATTTCAAATGTAGATAAATTAGTTTTCTTAATTTTTAAATCTTATAAAATTATGCATCGTACATCTATTAGAGCCCATGTACTACTAAAAATATTTGCACGTTGATCATGGCTGGACGACCACGTAGTATGGTAGACTTTTTTCATAAACATAGAAAAAATTATAACTATAAATTCTTATAGGTGGCGCAACAATAAATGTATCGAATTGCAATCAAATTTTGAATAATCAAAAGATTCTCAAAGAACATTTGCAACCGCAACAACGTATTCATGCGTCTGTTGCTCCTTGGTGCATTCAAACATCTCTTACAAAAACGGGACCTGGTTTAGCTGAAATACAAAAAGCTGAACGGCGAGAACGGCGAGCTGATCAACAACGTCAAATCGAAATGCAAGAAAGACGCGCACTAGCAACTGATGCTCAAGATGCTGTTTTAAAATGGAATGCTGCTCCATTTCCAGTCAAGAGCTTCGTTGAAATTCAAGCCGAAGAAGTCAAACGTTTAGCTAATGAGCAAACTGAATTGCAACGGCGCAAAGAGGAACAAGTTATTGTATCCGCAACTAATTTAAGTGGAGTTAATTCCATTACCGCTAATCTTCACCCAGCCACAAACATTACAAATATATGGGATGGAGTCAAAATTTGGGGCGGCAGCTCGACTGGATTTTGGGATGATGCAGTTAAATTTAAAACTGGTGTTGCCACAAGTAATATGATAACGGCTGCTTCTGTGGTGGCTCAATCCTCGCAAAGACAACAGCAGTCGAAAAATTCACCAAATTTACAACATCAACAACAACAAACAACTTCCAAAATCATCAAGAAAAGTCAAACGATACCCGATCTGGATGATGTTGCTATCTCGTCATTTATTAACAATTCACAAAAGAAGGGCACAAAAAATCAGCAACAAAATACTTCCAAAATTTTCAAATATAATCGAACACAAAAATCTGAAGAAAAGAAGATTATTACAAAGAACAATACCAGCAGCAGCAATGCAAATCGTTGTGATGGCTATGAGGCGGAATTTTTTAATTGGTGTACTAAAAGTCTAAGTAACATGAATGCTAAAGTCGATGGTAAGCACATGCTGGACAATGAATGATATGTGAAAAACCACGCCTTTTTTTTGTAGTGCCTACCTTTGCCTCGTTTTTACGGGACTTGGAGTCTCCATATGAAGTTAAGGATTATATACGTATGTACTTAGGTCTGTTTTAGCTTTTTTTTTTCTCTCTCTCTCTTATATTTTTTATAAATACACGCCATTTTATGCTTCATAGGCGAAAACAAAGAATATACAGACTTTGCCAAACAATTCCTTGAGCGTCGTAGCAGGTACAAAAGTTTACAACGCGCACAAAATGCTCATAATGACGACTTGTGTAAACCAGCTCAAGCCATAACTCCATCCATTAATGATAACAGTGATAATAAGGTAAACAAGTTAATTCCATTTCGTTTTGATAATATGGTCACTCATTAATAGGGGAAACAAAAGAAACTTAAAAAAAATAAGATGACTAAATTGGATGCACGTATTTTGGGGTTTTCTGTTACTGCGGCCGAAGGCCGTATTAATGTCGGAGACCGCGACTACGTTGATGCACCGTAAACTCCGAATGTTTATTTTGCGATTCAGTTATATAATTTATATATTAACTATATGTATACATATAACACATGCCGTGTATATACATCTAATAAAGCGAACTGTTGTCAGGTCACCTCTTGGTGTTTGACAACGTTCAGTATATATTTCTGTAAAAGAAAAA